CACCCACAACCACCCCGCGACGCGCCCCGCGACTCGCCCCTTCCCCTCGAAGAAGCAAAGACGCCATGAACAGAAACTCTTGGCGCTCCGCGCGAATGTCTTGGATCCGCGCCTGGGCCCCCCGGCGGCGCCTCTGGCGCGGCCCCTGGCGCGCTCCGCGCGACAGGGAGGGGGTGTCCGGCGCGATTCCCAGAAATCCGCGCGGAGCGCCAGATGTTTATGCTTGTGTGGTGTTTCTTCTCCTGCAACCCCACCCATCCACCCCCTCCACCTCTCCTCCCCGCGCGACGCGCCCGCGACAGGGCTGCGACCCGCCCCGCGACCCAGTCGCCCGCGACCCCCTCCCCCCCCCCCCAGACGCGCATGCACGTGGTCCGCCCTGCGATACCGACGGCCCGTCCGCGACCCGCCCGCACTGCTTGGCCTTGAAAATCAGGATGGGACAAAAACACACAGACACAGTTAATCGGCGATCCACAGGAAAATAGGGCAAGTGGGGGGGAAGACGAAAGCCCAGAAAATATAGGAAAATAGTGGGAATCCTGTTTTTTTGTGTCTATTACATTAACTTGTGTGTCCCAGGGCCCCTTCAGAAAAGCTCACAGTGTCTCCTGTGGTGGGCCTGTCTGGCATGGCCATGAGCACCCGTGCTGTTTGTCCCTGGAAAGGGTACGTTTAGCGATAAACAACGACGTCGCGTAATTAGGGCTGGCGAAGTCAGATTGTGAAGATGTCCCGAGCGAACCGTTGATGTTTGACAGTCCGACTGATAAAACACAGGGTACCGTCAACATTTCTGGTTGTTGCGCATGTCTCCAGCGAAACGCTTGTTTTGTAGAATGTGTTGAAGATGTCTCGAGCGAAACGCTTATGTTGTGATATTGGTTGTTTCTTTCCTGGGGGCCAGAACTCAGAGAATGTCTCATGTGAAATGCTTGTTTTCACGTGCCCAGGTCTTGAGGATGTCTCGAGCGACACGCTTGGTTTCACGCGTCCAGGTTGCCCAGGCAGATGTCTAGCGTGAGGATTTGTTGAGGACGTCTCGAGCGAGACGCGTTGTTTCACGCGTCCAGGTTGCCCAGGCAGATGTCTAGCATGAGGATTTGTTGAGGACGTCTCGAGCGAAACGCTTGTTTTCACGCGCCCAGGTCGCCCACGCGAGTGTCATGAAGATGTGTTGAGGATGTCTCGAACAAGACGCTTGCTTTTGCGTGTCCAGGTCGCCGGGCGGATTTTGTAACATGAAGATGTGTTGAGGATGTTCGAGCGACCCGCGTGTTTTCTCGTGACCAGGTCGCCCAGGCGGATGTCTAACATGAGGGTGCGAAACGCTTGCCGCAGTAGAGTGCGTCTCAGTCTAACCCCGCCCGTCCGTGGGACGTCCCCTGGCGCGCTACCGCGTCCCCCGGCGCCTCCCTGACGCCCCCTAGCACGCCACTCGGCGTGGCACGTTCCCTGGCTCGTCCTCTGTCGCGTTTCCTGGCTCGTCCCCAGGCGTTTCCCTTGCCCGTTCCTTGGCGCGCCCCTTGCAACCTCCCTTGGCATGGCGTCCTCTGGCCGCCCCATGGCACGCGCCTTGGCACGTCCAGTGGCAGGTCCTTGACACGTCCAGGGCAGGTCTCCTGATACGTCCCCTGACACGTCCCCTGGCGCACCCCCCATTGCGCCCCTGGCACATCCTGTGGCGCATCCGTGAGCCTATGCCCCCTGCCGTATCTTTCCTGTTCGGAGCTGAGCTCGATTTTCAGATCGAGTGGGTTGAACGTCCTCCACGTTTCCATGTCAACTAGACCTGGGGCAGCTACTAATTCTGTGCTCAGGCAGCTCGAGCCTAAGATCCAGACCCGTTCGGTCAGGACTCCAGCCTTCGAGAAGCCCCCTGCGGCTCTAACGAGGCGCAGAACGCTTCTCGACATTTTCGAGGCTCTTCTGAGCCTTCTGAGACACCGGGCGAATATATATATATATATATATATATATGTATATATGTATATATATATATATATATATATATATATATGCGCATGCTCGGCGACTACACAAAGGGCATGCTTGCGCCGGTGGCGTGGTTTGCGGTCGGCGCCGTTGGGGCTCTGGGGGGCACGACGCTTTCCTCGTCGGGCCTCCTCGGGGCGCGGGAGAACTCTGTCGAGGTCCCCGCGCGCCCCAAAAAGGGTGCCCCCCGGGATGTTCCCCAGGGTGCCCGTTGCAAACCGCAGCCTCTGCAAACCACGCCCCGGAGTCGTCGAACCCTGGCCGGGCCCGTCTTGGGCCCAGGGGCGGTGCCTGTGCCTCCCCGGCATGGCCGGGGGGGGGAGGGCGTACGCACACGTCATGGGCTCAGGATGGACCCCTGGCCAGGAGCGGCGCATGTGCACCTCCTCCTCCTCCTCCTCCTCCTCTTCCTCCTCCTCCTCCTCCTCCTCCTCGTTCCTCTCTGAGAACGCTTGCTTCCCCTCTCTGCCTCCCCCCTCGGCGCGCCGCCGAAGAGGGCACTGGCCCTCGGTCCCTCGACTGGCGACGGCGCCGCCCGGGAAGCCGGCGCCTCCCGCCCCCTGCAGCTTCGGGGGTTCAGTCCCAGGGCGGGGCGGTGGAGCGCGCGCAGCTGAGAGCTCACAGCTCCTGCTGCCCAGGGGCCGTTTCGAGCGATCCGCCTCCAACCCTGACCGATCTGTGTCTGGAACAGGATGCCGCTGTCCTCCATCCGTGGAAAGAAAGAGTTGCGGCGCCCTGCCGGTCCCCGGGGGTCACGGATGCTGGCGCCGATTCCGATCACCGACGCCTGACGTCGACCAGAAGCAGGCAGCTCGCCATGTACACCTCGTGCTTGTACGCCAAGCATCGGGGACACGTAGGATTTGAGTAAGCCGGAACTCGGGTTTGCCGACGTTTTTTGACCAGCGCGCCCCTTGATGTTGACGGTCCAGTTTTTGTGGGATGTTCGCAGCGGGAGTTCGCGTCAAATTTCAGATTGGGTCTCGTCATTTTCATGATGGCCCCCGTCAGGCCAACCCGAGCCCCCCGTACCCGAGTCTTACGTTTCCCCGACGAGCAAGCTTTCCCAAGCTTTCGCCCCCCCCCCCCCCCCCTGGCAGCAGCGGCGAAGCGTCCTGGCTCGCTGATAGCCCCACCAAACAATGTTCTAAGAACCTTTTGTGGTTTCCACGAAATGTTCTTGGAACATTTCTGGCGGAGTCTGTCTTGTTCTATCACACCGGGTTGATGTTCTAAGAAAATGGTTTTGTTCTTGGAACATTTCTGGGTTCTAAGAACATTTCGAGGTATGACTGTAGGAATGCCGGGACGGTCGGTCCCTGCTCCCCCCCCCCCCCCCGGCAGCAGCGGCCAGGCCTTCGTGTGGGACCACAGCTTCGAGCACGAGGCCCCCCCGGCGCCCCGCCGCCTGCCACGGCGCCCCGCGGCGGCCGCCCGTGCTTGCCGCTGCTGCTCCGCGCCCGGTCGCCTGCTCTTCGTCTGCTCTCCTCCCCCCGCTGCGCCGACCACCGCGGGCTGCCTCCTCCTCCTCCTCCTCCTCCTCGTCCTCCTCCTCTTCCCTCCTCCTCCTTCTTCTCTTCCTCCTCCTCCTCCCCTCCTCCTTCTCCTCCTCCTCCTCCTCCTCCTCTTCCCTCCTCCTCCTCCTCCTCTCTTCCTCCTCTCTCCTCTCCTCTTCCTCTCCTCCTCTTCCTCTCCTCCTCCTCCTCCTCCTCTTCCTCTCCTTCTCCTCTCCTCCTCTCCCTAATCCTCTTTCTCCACTCCTCCTCCTCCTCCTCCTGCTCCTCCTCCTCCTCCTCCTCCTCCTCCTCCTCTTACTCTCTTTCTCCTCTTCCTCCGTTCCCTCATCCTCTTTCTCTTCTTCCTCCTCCTTTGCCTCTTCCTTCTCCCTCTCCTCCGCTGCCTCTCTTCCGACCTGTTTGTTTGCATGTCTTGCATTGCGTGTGTCCAGAGACGCCAGAATCCAGAGGCCATGTCCTCGTCCACCTTGTCTGAGCCAGACCCTGACTATTGTCCGCAGCGGTGTTCGTTTGTTCGCTCTTCGCCTTCTTTTGGCGGTGGATGCCTTCGGGGTTCGACTGCCTGAGAGGCAGGTGGAGGGCAGGAGGTGTGTCGACCCCGACTCCAGGGCGCGTGCACCGCTTTCAGATGTGGAGATGCTGGAAACCACAATGGAGTGCCCCTCAGGACCCAGGCTAGGAAGTGCTTGGCTGAGAAAGCCCAGCTGACGAGGGATCCCATGGGCGTGGCTGTCTGGCCCTCTTCATGTCCTTATCGTTGTTATGTTTCTTCCTCTTATTCTTCTCGTCCCAACTCGTCCTCGTCCGCCTCGTTCTCGCCTCCTCCTCGTCGTCTTCGTTCTCCTCCTACTCCTCCTCGCCCACCCTTGTCTTCGTCGTCCCGGTGGCAGGCGTGGCACGAGGGGGACCAGACCCGGGTGGTGCTCATCGTGGACGTGTGGCACCCAGACCTGAGCGCCCCTGAGGCCCCTCTGCGGTCAAGGGGACACCGCTACGGCAGGTGCGCAGGCAAGGGGAGCCTCAGATCCGGGCATCGCAAGCCCAGATCTCCGAAGATATGACCTTTTCGATCCTGGCGTTCGTCTCAGATTCCGGCCCCTGTGGTCCGTAGTAGAGCACCAGGACTTTACCAAGACCACCTTGGTTTTGCTAATCGCCGCGTGGCCCACACTTCACAGGGATTTCGCTTTTGCAACATCCTGAAGGTATATGTCATCGCAGGACGGGCCCGAGGATGGTTGTTCTTCGGCGCATTTTCCAAACGCACCCGTCGGGTAAAGCGAAACTGGGGGAGGGGGAAACAAAACAAAACATAGAGCACCGGGCCGCTCGAACATTGGTAGAAGCTAACCCCGGGTCAGGGGCCGGACCTCTGGGGCATCGTCGGATGTCTGGAAAGAAGTCGCGACTGTAGCCTGTTCCACGATTTCGGCCTCTTGGGGCCGTCTCCCCGTTCCCAGCCAGGGCCTTCGAAAAGCGACTCGGGATACAAAAACAACCCCGGGGAGGGTCGAGATCCCACGGAGCCCACGTCACGCAAGGAATGCGGCGTGGAAGGGGCGGGGAGGCGGGAAGGAGGGACCACTTTGCTTCCTCTTCCTCCATCCTCCCTCCCTGTGCATCTCGTCCCTTTTCCTCCCCCCCTCATCCTCACCTCCTCCTCGGCCTGGATCGGGGGTGCGTCGCGTGCGGCCGCCGCTCAGCGCGTCGCCTCGCCTCGCCTTACGTGGGGCGGGTCCCTCTACAGGAAAAATGTTCAAGAACTGTCAAAAATAATAGAATCACGATTTTCCGTGCCGTGCTAAAAAGTGTAAACACATAAAATGTAGTCTGATCATCATCATCATCGTCATCATCACCATCATCATCAGCAGCATCATCATCTTCATCACCATCAGCATCATTATCATCATCAGCAGCATCAACATCATCATCAGCATCGTCATCATCAGCAGCATCATCATTATCATCCTTCCTCATCCCCCGTCCCCCTCCCCTTTCTTCTCCCTCTTCCCTCCTGGTCCCTCCTCCTCCTCCTCCTCCTTCCTTCTCCTTCTCCTCCTCCCTCCTCCCTTCTCCGTCCTCCCTGAGGCGCCTCCGCAAGCATCGAAAGCGGCAGGGGATGAAGTCAACCCCGAGCGCCGCCCTGCTGCGGGTCTCGGTCAGACGTCACGTGACAGGTCCGCCGCAGGCGTTGTTCTTCTTCGTATTGCTATTATCATAATTATTTTTATTCGCTCGTATTATTATTATTACTAGTATTATTATTACGATTATTATTATTACTATTATTATTATTCGTCGCTCTTGTTTCTTCTTTGTATCACTATTATTATTATCATTATTATTATTTTTATTATCATTATCATTCGTCGCTCGGCTCTGATGTGCGCCCTCTCGCCTCGCAGGGCCAAGAGCAGCCCGCGAGCATGGGGTCCGACGTCGCCGGCGCCGGGCGCCGGCGCCCCGCCGCTGGGGCACAGGGCAGGGCCACGCCCGAGCGTTGTTGGCTGCAAAAAAAAAAAGAGTGGACAGGTCTCTGGCGAGGGTCACCCGGCGGGTGCTGGCGGAAGGGCGGCGGCTCCAGGCCTCCCAGATGTGAAGCAGTGGCGCAGAGTCCTGGCACGCCTATAGCCCTACCAAGCAATGTTCCAAGAATCCTTTTGGTGGTTTCCACGAACTGTTCTTAGAACATGTCTGGTTGAGATTGCCTTGTTTTAACACATCGGGTTCATGTTCTAAGAACATCGTATTTGTTATTCGAACATTTCTGGGTTCTAAGAACATTTCGTGGTAGGACTATAGGAATGCCGGGACGGTCGGTCCCTGCTCAAAGATGGGGTCCGAGCAGACGGGGTCGGAGGATCGCGCCACATCACCTCTTATAGCACACCACAGCACTTGCACACCACAGCACTTGCACCCGTGGCGTTGCGCCTCATAGCACACCATAGCACTTGCACCATTGGGTACAATGGCTTGGTCACTGGAGCAGGCGAGGCGGGCGATGTAACGAATACAGATGATGCTGATGATGATTATGATGATGACGATGTTGATGCTGATGATAACGATGCTGATGGTGATGAAGATGATGATGCTACTGATGCTGATGATGCTGATGATGATGATGTCGATGATGATGGTGCCGATGCTGATGATGGTGATGATGCTGATGATGATGCTGATGATGAAGCTGCTGATGATGATAATGACGATGGTGTTGCTGATGATGAGGATGACATGGATGGTGGTGATGATGATGATGGTGATGATGTTGTTGTTGTTGATGATGATGATGATGATATCCATGATGGTGTCCACGATTATGATTAGTGTTAGGATGATGATGACGATGATGATGATGCTAATGAAGATGAGGATGGTGATGATGAGGATGGGGGTGAGGATGAGGATGATGCTGATGATGATGATCACGGAAACGACGATGATGTTGATGATGATGAAGATGCGGGGGAAGAGGAGGAGGAGGAGGAGGATGAGGATGGGGATGAGGATGATGGTCATAATGGTCATGTTGGTGATGATGATGATGACGGTGATGACGATGATGATGATGTTGTTGATGGTGATGATGATGATGACGGTGATGACGATGATGATGATGTTGTTGATGGTGAGGATGATGATGACGGTGGTGGTGGTTGTAATGACTATGCTGATGTTGATGATGCTGGTGATGTTGGTGTTGCTGCCGGTGGTGCTGCTGCTGCTGCTGCTGCTAATGATGATGATGATGATGATGATGATGATGATGATGATGATGATGATGATGATGATGATGATGATGATACTGTTGCTGCTGCTGATGATGCTGATGATGGTGGTGATGATGATGAAGCGCGATGTACAGGACGGCATCCAATGGATTTGGCGTTTTGCCAGACAGTGGTTACACATCGGGTATATGACTTGCCTTCGCAGGAACTTGGCGCGAGTTCAGGAGTCCTGGCTAGTCGCTGGCTCACTGCCGCCCCGTGGCCGCCCTGTTGCCGCCCCGTTGCCACCGCGTTGCCGCCGCGTCGGCTTCCCACTGCCGCCCCCTGTGCCGCCCAGTTGTACCCCGGTCGTGTTGCATTACGTTGCTTTGTATGGATTTGCATCCATCTGTCTTGCATTGTGTTCCGTTGTGTTGCGCCGACTTGCATTGCGTTTTCGTGTTACATTGCAGAGAATCGGTGTTTGTCGCTGTTTTTGTTTTGCGCTGCTCTGCATTGCCTCGCGTTGCTTCGCTTTGAGCCGGATCGGTTTGCCCTCCGCTCCTTCCCCCCCTGCCCCCTGGCCTCCTCTCTCCTCTCCTTTGGCTCCTCGCTTCTCTACGCCTTGCCCCACCTCGAGGCAGCGGAGTCGTGCTGCCTCCCGCGCGTGTGCGGACGCTTGGCCTGCGCAGTGTGCATTGCTCGCGTGCCTTCGGAGCCACGGAGTGCTTCCTATGTTTCTGCGTTCTCTTCTTTCTAGTTAGTGTTTTTTTGTTTGCGGTTGTTAGTTCTCTTCTGCGCCTTCTGCGCAGGTGAAGTTCCTGTCCACGCTGCAGAATTGCCGCCTGCGCGCGGGCCGAGCGCTCGCCGAGCACTACGAGCGGGGGGGAGGGCGGCGCCGGCTCGCGCGGGTGGCCACGGGCTCTTCGGGCAGAGCCCAGGGCTTGGCATCGCTCGGACGTGTGCATTTTTCCTTCGGCGAGGACCATCGAGGAGCATCCTTGATCATTTGGCGGGAAAACCACGCACGAAACCGAACAAAAGCACAGGGAATGGACGTCCGAGCGATGGCCAGAGGGGTCCCAGTCCTGAGACAGGGTCGCGCGTGTCAACGCGGCTGCGACCCCAGCGCGGGCGTTCAAGGCTGAACGCCGCCAGTGGCCCAGAATCGGCCACGATCGGCGGATCTCACGATCGAGAAGCCGCCGATCGTGCGAGGTCAAGCGGGCGGCGCTGTCGTCACGCCGAGTTCAACCAGGGTCGTCGCGATGAGTGCAGCCGGCAGGTCACGGGGTTCAGCGCAAACAGGGCTCCGCCAGAGTGCCGTATTCTTGCTTGATCCTACAAAGCTGGAGTCTGTCAGGAGGGGGAGAGAAACACACAGACATAATGAATCGTCGATCCCCAGGAAAATATGGGAAACCATGGGAAGTGGGAGGGGAGACGAAATCCCAGAAGATATGGAAACATAGGGGGAATCCTTGGATTCGTGTTGCTTGTGTGTCCCTGGGCCCCTTCAAGAGCTGGAGTCTGGCCAGACCGAGCTGGGGGGGCCCTTCGCGGCCCTGCTGGGGGGGGGGGTCTTTACATGTGGGCTGGCCGAGCCGGGTTTCGGACGCCCCCCCCGAATCTGTGCATTTGGACGCCCTGCTCGCCTCCAGGGTGCCCTGGTTTTTCGTGGGTGTCGACGGTTTTGCTATGGAAAGCGTGACGCTCCCACGCCAAACATCAGTGGACGTCTTGGGGTCTCGGGGTTGGGTTTCTTGCGGAAGGTTCCTTGTGGGTTGGCCCCCGATGTAGGTTCGGCACGAAAGAACTGGGTACGGAGAAAATGGGTACAATGCCCAACAGCAGTACCCATTTCGGGCGTCCAAAGTGCAGCGCTGTTGTTCTACTCCAGACCTCCTAGATGGGGGCGGAGTAGATGGGGTCGGAGGATCGCGCCGCATCGCCGATGCATCGCCGATATCGCTCGATGTGCAACCCGATTTGCTTCACGTCGACGTCGACGATACATCGCCGACGTCGATGATACATCGCCGATGCATCGCCAATGTATCGGCAATGCGGCGCGATCCTCCGACCCCATCTACTCCGACTCCATCTAGGAGGCCTCTATCTACGTAGGCTGGCCGAGCCAGGTTTGCGCTGAGCCAGGTTAGTCTACACTTGGTGAGTGCCTCGTGCAGATTCCGGGTCCCAGGCTTCAGCTACAGTAGGCCCAGGTTATGATTGCGAATGGGGCAGCACGTGTCTAAGCATCAGCTAGCGTCGATCCAAGGACTCGGCGCGGTCCTCCGAGAGACAATGTTAGTGTTTGTTTGTTTCTCACTGTAGTGCAGTCTGACGTCTGGTCGTGCTGCGTGTCCCTCGCTCCACACAGGTAGAGGCCTGTGGCTCCACCGTGCAGCACGCGCCCGCAGCCGCCCGCTTTCCCGCCCGAGGAGTCTTCCTACAGGCCTCTTGGCATCGCCCGGGCGTGTGCATTTTTTTCGGCGAGGACCAACGAGGACCATCCTGGACCATCGAGCAAAAACAACACGCACGACACCGAAAAATGCACGGGAAATGGACGTCCGAGCGATGGCGAGGCTTGTGACAGCAACCGAGGTGGTTCGGAGCGGCAGTGCGCTTTGGGTCCGAGGACGTGGACACGGGGGGCAGCTCTCTGGGCCGCGGATCTGCGCAGCGGGGCACGCGGCTCGCGCTGCACAGGCCGTGGAAGAGATTGTGGTTTGGTTGAGAAGCCTTCTCCCTTGCCCTTTACCCTGGCATCGCTCGGACGTCTGCATTTTTTCCTAGCGAGAGCCATCGAGGACCATCCTGGACCATCGAGCAAACAAAACACGCACTTAACCGAAAAATGCACGGGAAATGGACGTCCGAGCGACGGCGAGTTTACCCCTCCGTCAAAATCCCGTGGTGGCCCCACAGCCAGGGGTCCTTCGATCTGCTGCGCTCCGGAGGTCCAGGTTCAGGTACGTCGTGCGGTGTTCCACGCAGTCCAGGTTTTCACGTCCTTCACGGTACGCGGTATCTGCAGAGTTGGGCAATTAGTTATTGATCATGGTCTTGATGATGGTGTTGCTGCTGCTGCTGATACTGATGATGATGATGATGATGCTGATGATGATGATGATGATGATGATGATGCTGATGATGCTGATGATGATGATGACGCCGTTGATGGTGATGATGATGATGATGATGATGATGATGATAAGGATGAGGATGAGGATGAGGATGATGATGAGGATGAAGATGATGATGATGGTGCTGATGTTGATGCTGATGACGACGCCGTTGATGATGATGACGATGATGACGATGATGATGATGATGATGATGACGATGACGATGACGATGGCGATGACGATGACGATGATGATGATGATGATGATGATGATGATGATGATGATGATGATGATGATGATGATGATGTTGATTATTGTGGTGGTGGTGGTGGTGGTGGAGGTGGTGGTGGTGGTGGTGGTGGTGGTGATGATGATGATGATGAGGAGGAGGAGGTCTTCATCCCGCTGGAATTGGGAGAGCGCATCGGCGGGCGCTGTCAGACGCGCGTGGGCGGCAGCAGCTCCTCGGGAGCGGCATCCGCGGCAGCGGCGTCTGGGCCTCTCGGGGGGGCCGCGCCCCTCGTGCCCGTCCTCGGCTGATGTCGGGCGTGTCCCCCTACGGGGGGATTTTCGACGAAACATCAAAAGTACCACAAACATGTCCCAAAAAGGTAAAACAGATACCCCAAGAATAGTCCCCAGACTATTTGTTGATTATTTCTGTTTTTTGGGGGAATTTTGCATCTTTCGTCGAACATCCCCCTGTAGGGGGACAGGCCCGACTTAATCCTCGGCCCACCTGCGGGACAAGAGGCAACGGGGCTAAGTCGGGCGTGTCCCTCTACAGGAGGAATATTCCAAAACAGTAAAAAATAGACTAATGACGACTTTTTGAGTGCTTTTGATGGAATTTGAAGTATGTTTGACACTATTTTCAGTTTCTCGTCCAGGATCCGCCTCTGGGGGGACACGCCCGACCTGACAATGGGGGCAAGACTTCGCGGAGGCGCAGGGGGCTCTTCGGCAGGCGGGCTGGCGTCTGAGAAATTGCCAGCAATGGTGCAGCAATGCCCTCTCGCCAAGGGCCCTCTTCAGAAGTCCATACTGGTCGTTTTCTTGTTCCCCCCCAGTGTAGCGCTCCCTACCCGAGTCCAACCTCCACCCCTCTCCTGGTAACGCTAAAGATCGTACTGGGGGAGGGGCCTGGACCCCCCCCCCTACATGCAGTGGTGCACGCAGGCGATTGACGCGCCGGTGGCGCCGACGCACCCTGGCGGGTGCACGCCACGGTTGCTGGTGCCGTTACCCTCGCGCCCGACCCCCCCCCGCCCAAGGTAACGATTGTTGCCCGAGAAAGCAGAGCACGATCACATGCAAGAGCGCATTTTGATAGCAGCAGGTGGCCGTTTGAAAGATAGCCGTCCGAAGAGCTCAAACAAGGAGGACTGCACTCTCCCGGGTCACAGACATGGGAGATGCCCCGCCACGACGAGAAACAAAGACAATCCAACACCAAGCTTACATTAGAAGTTCCTTCGGACACCACCCAATTTCCGAAGATTCTCGGGGAATCCCAGATCGCACCCGAACACCATTCTTGGGACTGCAACGCTGCGAATCAGTATGGATGCTGCGTCCTGTCGGAACCCTTGTCGTCAGGGGGACCCCTTGTCGTCAGGGCTGGACGCAGCTCTCGAAACCAGTCCGTGTGGGATCCCGGGAGAGGTCCCAGGATCGGTGTTGACCCGCTGTGGTCTCAATTCGGTTCGCTCCGATTGGCACGAACTGGAAAGCTGCAGCCGCGGGTCGACGCGTTCTTCACTGTCCGTTTGCCTCTTTGGTTGGATCTGGCAGAGGTCTTGGTCAGCAGAGTCCTGCTCCACGGGGCCCTGACTGCAGAAGGTCCTCCTCCAGCGAGGAGGGCCGCGATGCCCCCCGAGCAGGAAAGGAGCGGACGTGCTGCTCGGGCGGGACGCCGCAGAGCAGAGACCCCACACCACCCCCGGGACCCCCTCTGGCCGCCCCGCCCAGGGCTGGCGGTGGTATCGATGTTCTTTTTGGCATCGCTGCATTGCGGCTGCTGGCCCTGCCCCTGGATGCGCCCGCGACGTCGCCCCGCGCCGCTGCCTAAGGCTGCCCCGCAGCCTGGCCTCCCCGCCCGTTCACCGCGGCACCGCCGGGTGAGGGCGTTCTCCCACCCTCCGTCCACCTCCGCGACCGCCCTCTTTCGGCCCTCCCCTCCTTCATGCGGGACAGCTCACATCGCTTCAGCCTGGATTATTCGACGCGCGAGCGGATCGGTGCTGCCTCGGCGCGACGGAAGAAAACATGTGTTGTTTTGTCCCTAGGCGAGGACCATCGAGGGCCATCTTGCGCAAACGCACGCGCGCAAAACCGAAACATGCACAGGGAATGGACGTCCGAGCGATGGCAAGTCTTCGCTTTCCCCCTCAGGGGCATCGTTTATTTTGGGGGGGTCCACGTGGAACGCGTCGACTCCCCAAGCGACAAGAAATTGCCGGGACGGGCCCGATGGCCCACCCCGCCCCGAAAACCTGCGGTGTGAATCTCGGGGGCACATGGCCGATTTATTTCGGCGACGCATCCCCGCTCCCAGCTCGATGTGTCCCCCGTGCACCGGAACCCCACAACGTTATGATGGTCCAGCTTACTTCATCCTCGATCACAGAAGCTTCGAATCGAATCTGTCGGGTTTTCACGTGTTCGGCCATGAGAATCGATACTCGTTCGACAGTTTGCCAGCGCGTCGGGCATGCACCGTTTCGATGTTTCTGCGGGTGTTCGAAAGTAGTTTGGGGATTGGCCATCAAGTACGATGGGGAAGCCACAACCGTATCGTTGCGCCCCCCGTCCCCCCTCCCTGCTCCTGGGCAGCGGGGCCCCCTGGCCTTTGGCATCGTTTGGGGGTGTGCACTTCTCTTGGGCAGCGACCATCGAGGAACAGCCCGGACCCTCGTGCGAGCAGTGGGCGTTCAAAACCGCGAAGACGAAGGAAACACACAAAACAAGAACATCTGGATAATGAACAACCGACCGAGCGATGGCGACGGCCCGCGTGCGGCACCCCGCGCCGCACCGTTTTCGGCCTGCCACCCTTCGAGCAGGTGGTGAAACGCTCTGGCTTGCCCATAGGCCCAGCAAACAATGTTGTAAAAACCGTTTTGTGGCCTGCGCGAAATATTCTTAGAACACTTTCAGGGGTGGATTGCTCCCCCACCCTGACACGTCGATTGGCGAATTGGCCGTTTCCGGTTCGCGAGAGGGCGTCGCGGCCGTCATTTTTGCGGGTCCAGGTCTGTCGGTTTCGGTTCCAGGCCGTTTTCACTAAAGAGAGGTTTGCCGCATTGAGGTTTGTCCACCGCCGACACTTCGGGCTGAGACTGTTTTGTTCCAACACGTCGGGATTCTGCTCTGGGGACCTCGTTCTTTTTCTCAGAACATGCTTGGATTCTGCAGGCATGCCGCAGCTGGCTTATAGGAGTGCCAGGACGGCCGGTCCCTGCTCACAACCCCTCCCCGCACGCCGGCCGGCGGGAGGAGCAGCAGCAGAGGGAAAGCGGCGAGGCGCACGAGCCGCAGGCGCCGTCGCCCCGCCCGGCGCCCGCGGCGGCGGAAGGCCTGCTGCGCAGCAGGGCCGGGCCCAAACTCAAACAGTGGCGAAGCGTCCCGGCTCGCCTATAGGCCTACCGCAGAATGTTTTTAAGAACGGCTTGTGGTTTCCACGAAATGTGATCTGAACACTTCTGGCTTAGACTGTTTTGGTTTGACACATCGGTTTATGTTCTAAGAACAGCGTTTCTGTTATTGCAACAGTTTTGGGCTCTGAGATAATTTCGTGGTAGGCCTACAGGAATGCCGGGACGGTCGGTCCCTTCTCAACAAACGTTGTTTTGCTGGACTTCGGCTGTGGTGTGTGTTCGCCTTGGGAGGGAGGAGCAGGCAAGCAGGTCGAGCAAAACGAACACACGAAACGGAAACAAAACGAAACAAGACGTACAGTTCCAGCCTTGGAGGGGGGGGTGCGTTGCCTGCAGATGCAAGGCCGGCGTTTCCTGAGAATCGGCCTCCTTCCGAAGAGCCTCCCACCCATCCACCCTATTTGGAAGGAGGGGACACGCCACAAACATAAACTGTTGGTGATCCGCGCGGGTTTCTTTGATCCTCGCTGGGCCCCCCGGGGCGGCGCCTCCGGCGGCGCCCCGGGGGACCCAGCGAGGATTCAAGAAATCCGCGCGGAGCTCCAACAGTTTATGTTTGTGCAGTTTTTTTAATGTTTTTTTTTTTTCCTCCCCCTCCCCCGTTGATCCGATCGCAGTAGGAGACAAAAACAAAATTGATGAGTTTTTTGGACAGGTCGAAAACATGTGTTGTTTAAGCGTGGTGATAGTTTGACCAACGAGGTTCCCACTAAGTACCACGGTAGGATGCATTTGACATGTATCGGTGGTGTGAATGTTTTCTTGACAGGCAAATATATCGACGACGCACTGAATATCTATAACATGTTGCACTGTACCCGTGTAAGCACACCCTGTGTGAAAGACACCCCTCATGTAAAGGGTTCTGTCGGGGAAGAGTTCGTAGTTCTTGATGCGACTGAACATCATAAGTACAGGTGTGCAGCGGGGAAATTACAATTCATTTGTCAGAGCGAGGAGACATCCAGTTTTCAGTGAAAGAATTGGCGAAGCAGTTTGCGTCGCCTACGAAACTTGATGTCCGTAATTTGAAGCATTTGTTGAGGTATTTGCGGGAGCCAGACATGAACATATGCATCTTAGGAGCGATTCGATTTCTGACAAGGTGACTGTTTATGTAGACTCAGATTGGGCAGGCTGCCAGCAAACGAGAAAGAGCACATCAGCAGGAATTGTGATGTGGGGCACGTGTGTTCTCTGTAAGTACAGCCACACGCAGAGCGTGATCGCCCAATCCAGCGGGGAAGCCGAACTATATGGTATAGCCTCCGGCGCCGCAGAGGCACTACAGGCGCAATCGTTGATCAAAGAGTTGGGGTATGAGACTTCGGCCAATGTAAAATCAGACAGGAGCGCAGACAGGGCCATAGCATCAAGAATGGGCGTACGAAGGTTGAAACATGTTTATATTCAGTTACTACATGTACAACAACTTGTGCAATCAAAACGCGTACATATTTCCAAGGTGACTACAACAGACAATATTTCAGACACTGGAGCGACATACCTTGACAGAGCGAGGCTTTTTACGTTGAAGAGCAGGTTTGGAATTAATGCGTAGCGATCCTACGTAGCCATTCAGGCTCAAGACCTTCTTGAGTTGGACGCGCCAGTAGTAAATTTAGCGACAAAGCATGTTGCACCCATATATTTCATACATCTACAAAGAATTTCCAGAACGCTTGCCTTCATACTGTGCTGTTGTCAAGTCATATCAAGTGAGCTCGTGATACCGGTTTGGAGGCCCCGAACAAGATGTCACATGAAGCAAGAGAGGGTTTCGATCGCAGTGTCGAGGTTTGTTATTGCAAGAAAGATTGGACGGAAACCCCACCAGAAAAGGTGTTGGTCGACGTCAACTCTCCGCTGCCACCGCCGCCACCGAAACCGGCGGATCAGGCAGCAGAGCGTGGCGCCAAAGACAGGAGCCGTTCCCTTACACAGGCTGCGAGCACGAGCCCGAGCCGCAGCCAGGCCAGTGTCAAGAGGGTCAAGCCTCCCCTGTCTATTGAGCAAAAGGAGCACAACATCCTGCACGATGTTCGCACTGATGTCAAAGATCAGCAGATGAGGTCCGGTGCGGCAGAGGCTCTCCGGATCGTGGCTGACCGGTTGGAGCGGGGAGATTTTTCTTACAGGAACATGGGGTTAACATATGCAACAGAAGATTGCCTCTGTGCTCTCAAAGACATCAGGTGAGCAGCGGTATTCCTTTCTAGCTTTTCCATTTGTTGTGCCACTATCAGTAAAAATATGGTCTAGTGCTGATGGTGGTATGTACGCGTGCATTGATTGAGGAACGCTCTGCCCAGTTCCGTATAAACGTGTCAGATCTGAGGGAGGCTGTCACGATCTCTTTACCCGCAGCCGGCTTGAGCCTCGAGCCCGGGAAAGCATCTTCGATATCGAAATCGTCCGCATATATTTTCATGTGTTTTCCTTGTACAAATAACTTCTCCCCGTCGCACCCCGAGGCATGTTTTTATAGCGGGTCGGGCGTTTCGCCTGAGACGTCCTCACCACTCATGACTCTGAAACCTAAAGTTGGCAACAGATTCGCAGATGGAGGGCCTGTCTTCTTCAAAATGTGGTTCTTGCCTGAGCGCCGCGCACACTGGGCTGAAACATGTCCAAGAGTTCATCGAATTGGGGATCACCCGTTTGCACAATGTGGCTCTCGCCGTAACGCCGCGCACATTCGTTTCAAACATGTACAAGAGTGCTTGGCGGCTTGAGTGTACCCCGTTTGCAAAATTGTGGTTCTCACCATCACGCCGCGCACATTCGTGGTAACATGTTGCAAGAGTTTCATGGAAGGAGGTTCTTTCTCAAAGTGTGGTTGTCGCTTTAGCGCCGCGCGTACTCGTTCACAACATCCGCAAGAGTTTCAACAGTTACGTTGGTTTACGGTGTTGAAATCGCAAGACGCAGGAGCTAAGTTCTGGCGTTCTGGCAGGATTCAGGATCGTCAAAAAACGCGGCAGTTAAGTTGATCCGTGGCGTTGGAATCCGAAAACAACGTTTTGGCATGCTTTTGGGTCTTCAAACGGTTACCTTCCAACGAGGCAGATCCCTCAATGGAAGTGAACCGCTGGTGGGGCCTATTGGAGGGATGGTGTATTCAAACATCGTTAATGGCTCTTGGGTTTACACTGGTCCTCCTCTTTCTCCTCCTATGCCTCCTCCTCCTCCCTCCTCCTCCCTCTTCCTCCTCCTCCTCCTCCTCTCCTCCTCCTCCATGCCTTTTCCTTCTAGAATAACCTTTCCCTCCCCCTCCCCCTCATTCCCCTCCTCCTCCTCCTGCTTCTCCGACTTTTCCTCCTCCCCCTCCTCAGTTTCATCCCTCATCCTTCGTCCGCCTCCTCCTCTCCTCCTCCTCATCCATACGCTTTTCCTCTATAAACAACCTTTCCCTGACCTCTTATGACCCTGAAGGTTCCACATTGGCAACGGTATCACAGATGGACGGCGGGCCGTTTTCAAAATGTGGTTTTCGCCTTAGCGCCGCGCGAACTCTGCTGAACCATGTCCAAGAGTTTCACGAATTGAGTTCGGGTGGTGTTCAAAATGTGACTCTCGTCTTAGCGCCGCGCACAGTCGTTGTACACAGCTGCCAGACCTTCACGGAGTTAGGGCGGGTGGTTCTCAGAATGCGGTTCTCGCTTCAGCGCCGCGCACATTCGTTTGAAACATGTGAAAGAGCTTCCCGGATTTAGGGCGGTTGGTGTTCAAGTGGTGGTTCCCGCTTTTAGGGCCGCGCACGTTCGATGCACGGGTTGCAAAGGTGCCACGGGGTCCCGTGGTCAACGTACCAGAAATCCGGTTTTGGAAAGATTCGCGATTCCGAGGGTGCATACAGTTATGTTGATATGTTGTGTTGGAGTTCTTGGAGTGGCGTTCTAGCAGTATTCAGGGTCGCTGAGGCGCAACAGTCAGGTTGATCCGTGGCATTGGAGTCCCGCGGATAATGTTTTGGCATGGTCCACGGTGTTCAAGCGTATGTCTTCCAACGAGGCAGTTCTCTCAATAAGAACGAACCCTTGAAGGGGCCTATGAAGACTGAACGCGGAGAAAGCTCATGCCAACATAGTAGCTGGCCCTTGTGCGTACACTTGTCCTCGTCCTCTTCCTCCTCTCCTATTGTTGCTTGGAGCAAGCGTGGCGCACGGGGCACGTCGCGTTCAACCTCCTCCTCCTCCTCCTCCTCTTCCTCCTCCTCCTACTCCTCTTCTACTCGAACACGAGATCGGCCTCGAACCTTCTCCTCCCCCTTCTCGTACTCGAACGAAAAATCAGCAGTAGAACAGAAGGTGAATGCAGGGCGCGGAAGGGTTTTACCACTACGCGACGCCGCCAGCGCCGAAGCCGCCGCCGCCGACGCCCGCGACACGCGCCCTTTTTCGTCGGGGGGGGGGGGAGCGGCGCGCCCACCGCCGCCCCCAGGACGCGACCTACTTCGAGATCGTGGAGCTGTGCCCCCCCCCCCCTCCCCGGGGTCGCGTCCGCGAGCTTGCCAGGGCGACGAGGAGGAGAAGGAGGAGGAGGAGGAGGAAGGGGAAAATCAGGTCGAGAAGGAAGTCGACGAGGACGGCGAGGTTGTGGAGGCGGAGGAGGACGGCGAGGCTGAGGAGGAGGACGAGAAAGACCAGGAACAGCGGGAGGACAACGAGGAGTGAGGAAACAGCAGGAGAAAGCCGAGAAGCAGGAGCATGATGATGATGCTGATGATGATGATGCTGATGATGCTGATGATGCTGATGATGCTGATGATGCTGATGATGCTGATGCTGATGCTGATGCTGATGATGATGATGATGATGATGATGATGATGATGATGATGATGATGATGATGATCATGATCATGATCATGATGATGATGATGATGATGATGATGAGGAGGAGGAGGAGGAGGAGGAGGAGGAGGAGGAGGAGTTATGGGACTATCGTTTTTTCGTGGCCCAAAACGAGGAGGGGCAGGGTGGAGGAGATCGGCGATCACGAAGGGGATTGTCATCGACTGTGAAAGGCTGCGTCCAGGGGCCTTCCGTGGAAAGGGGCCCAAACGGATGACGCCCCTGCTCGCCGACCGTGACCAGCCCAGCAGAGAGGAGTGTGGCGACGATGGGCCTTGCGCACTTTTGCGTCGGCGGCTAGGCAGAGTGACTGCCCTGGCGGATCGAGCAAATGCAGGGCGTTCTAATGCTAATTAAGCCGCGATGCACGCGAACAAGAGTGGCCTTGCGCACACAGCCAATGTGAACCTGACAGCATCAGTTTCAGTTGCCCCCAAAACGAGCCGCGACGAGTGTGCCACTGCCCGGCCCTCTCAATCGACAGGCCGCCCGCGACCCCCCGACCGAGCCCATGCACAAGAGACTGGGGCCGTCCCCAGTGCCAGGCTATAACTAGCTAGACACGACTGTAGCCGAAAGCGTTCCCGCCTGTTGTTACTGCCTTCTCGCACGAGCTGGTCCTTGTAATGCTGCCCCTGCCAGTGTAGCTGATGGTATCGGGCTCTACTCTCGCCTCCCCCTTCTCGCAGAATGGTGTCGTAGTCCCGTGCCGCTCGCTTTCCTCACACGCCCTGATCCCAGCGCCGTAGCTGTTGACGTCAGGCTTGTGCGTCTCCTTCCACTCGCTGAGCAGCGAGTAGCGCCAGAGCCTGCTGCCGCTTCTCGCCGCTCTCGCACGCCGAGATCACAGCTCTGTGGGGTTGACATCGTGCGTAGCGGAAGAGGAGGAGATTCTGAATGATTGTACGGTCGAACGGCTTCCAAGGGTGTCCTGGGATCCTGGGGGGTCCCCGGGGGAAACGAAGGGGGGCAGCCTGCCGATGGTCTCCACGGTGTTCGGGGAGCTCCGCCACTCTCGGGGTTTCTGGCCGGCGTTGCTCGGTTGTTCTCGGGTGTCTTCAGGGGTGGGGATGGGGGTGAACATTGAGGACGGGGCAGGGGTAGCTGGAGAAGGGGGCGGGGGGGTGGGGAACCGGGGAGGAAGGAAAGGAGGATCCAGGAGGAAGCATGAGGAGGAGGAGGAGGAGGAGGAGGAGGTTAAGAGCGCAGAAGGTCGTTTTTGACTCGACGCCCTCCCTGCCAGACTCAGCAATGCAAAGGCAGGTGACTGCATCGCTGTCCAGCCGAAGCTGGAAATCCCCCTGCCAAGATTAGGCAAGTGGAGGATGAAACACATACACACATACGTACATACATATCGATAGTTCTCTGAGCTGTCCGACTCCTGAGCAGCGTCACGCGTCTCAGCAGGCGAGGAGTCCTCGAGGCGGAGAGAGGCCGCCACGGCACGAAGAGTCACTGCCTCCTGCAAGCATGTCACGCTGCAACCACGATGAGAGGGAGCATTAGGAGCCAGCGTGCCAACGCAGGACAAACTGCTGTTGGTCGCGGGAGCTGCCGCACAGGCGTCATCGGCTTCCCTGCCAGCATCCAGCCGCTGCGACCGCCTCGAAACACGATGGCGGGAACGGCTAGCCGCGGCAAGGGCCTGCTGTCCGCCACAGGGATCCACTTTTCCCCAAACGCTCACAACAGGAGGCGGAAGAGGAGGAGGATGAGGAGGAGGAGGAGGAGGGATCTAAGGGCGAGGAGAGACCGAGCTCGGCAGCAGCAGCCCGCTCCACGTCACCTATCTTCGCTACCCTCAGCGGCAGCCGGAGAAGGATCCACCTCGCGAGATTTCGGAGGGCTTTCTGGAACAACCCCTTGGGCAGCAGCGCGGTGGTCGTTCCGCCAGGGTTGGATGACGCAGGGCCTGTTGCCACAACAGAGCTCATGCCCTGTAAGGACATGGGGGTAGCCTGATTGTTGCTCTCTTCGATCAAATCCACATCTGTGCCAGTCGGAGCGGAGCCCGGCAGGCAAATGACCGAGTTGATGTTGACAGAAACGTGTTTCCTGCGAGGATTTGGATGCAAGCCCTTGACATAAAAATCACGCCAAGCGTAGCGAGCCTTTCTAGAAGGAGATCCGCTACAGAGCTTGCCCAGGCCATCAACTCGAGCACCCGTGTTGTAGAAACGACACCGCATGCAAACGAAGAGGTGATTACCGTCCGAGCAAGGAAACGCGAGGATATGTTGGACTAAGGACACCAATGCACCTTCATCGAGCTTGTTTCTGCCAGGGCAGCCCAAAGGGGAAGGTTCGTCTTGGGCTCTGCATCCCACTACACAAACTCGACACCTACACAAGACAGATCAATCCACCCACTGATGGCCTGGCTTGTCGTGGGAGAGGCGAGGAGGAGCAGGAGGGGACACCTTGCTGTCTCCAAAAAGACCGGTCCCTGGCCAACGAAGAAGAACTTTCGCCGCAAGCTTGCAAACAGTTTTGGCAACCAAGCCCTTGACATCGACAGCCTTTAGCCCCTCTTCGCCAGACGAGTGAATACTCATGGCATGCTTAGCAACAATGTTTGCATCATTGCTCAATTCCTTGCAACTCCGCTAAAACGTTGATATACCAGACTCATCTAAGTCTTTGTGGGCTCAACTCGTCTGTGAGTATGCCTAGCATACAGGTGCCCATAAGAGCGTTAGTCTCTAAGGTGATTCCATTTCACATTATTTTGAGTGAGAGGTGGGCAGGTAACATAATAAGCGTATGTTTGATCACATTGAGGCAATCATTGTAAAGTGTGGATGGGTATTCAACCATCTTTCCAGCCATGCCCCTAGTTGAAGCATCTCCCGCCTGAGGGGTCTGAGGGTACTGGGCCCACACAGGCTCCCTGACCTCACCGACCAGACCCCCACAGTCGGAATGCATCGTGATGTCCCAAGAGGCCTTGCTGAGCTCCTTATTGATGTGCCTCTTGCAGGACCCGTCGAATAATAAGTGACCCCCGATGGCTCCGCCAGAGGGCTCCTGAGGACCTTCAGGGCCAAGAATAGAGGACTGATACCAAGCAACCTGGACCTGACCTTCACGGCACGGTCTAGGCAGATGCTCGGCGGTTTTTTCGAGACCACCGTGCCAAATAACGCATGGCCGAAGTCGCCAACTTCAGTGGATAGTGCCACCTCTAAGACCGAGATTTCCACGACCTCAGCACGAATGTCTGCAACGAACGGGCAAACCCACAGACGGTTGAGCATCGTGTCACGGTAATTGCAATGTATATAACATTCATGTTTGGCATACCCGCAACCAGCCGCTCTGGCAGGCGTCCAGATGGCGTTGCAAACAAGAGCCCATCTCATACCCTTTCGCACTCGGAGCACACTTGGAGGAAGCAATGGCCGATTTGGGAACGTCCAGGCAGGCTCTGAGGCCGATCCCCCATTTCACCCCAACTCCCGGTCGAGGGACCTAAGAGGAGCTTCTTTACGAAACAGCGCAAGGAGTTCAGGAGAGGTGACCCCCCCTAAGGGAATATCAGAACCCCTGTCATCGATTATCGTCATGTAGTTGGGCGTGTGCCATCCCAGCCTGACGAGAACACGTCGAAGCGCAGAGATGGGGCCAGGTATCGAGGCCCAAGAGATCTGAGCTCGACCCCAAGCCGACTTCAGCTTTCCCGAAGTTCCGGGTGAGAGGAGGCTGCCAGCATAGATCCTCGTCCGAGCGAGCCAGACCTCCTCTCCCCACCTGGCGATCGGGGCCACGGACGCCCTCCACGTGGGGTCGTCAGCCGCAATGCAGCATCGCGGTGAGGCTGCGAGACTGAGCAACTGGCCTGACCTGAGAAAACAACACCGTCCTCAGAACAGGGCTGAACTAAAATGCCTGTTTGCTGGACTTCGGTTGCGTGCTGATGTTCGTTTTGGCAGGGAGGCATGGGAAAACATGTAGAGCAAAACGAACAACAAAACGCACAAGCAACTCAAAACATCGTTTATGTCCAGCCCTGGAGCGGAGCGTGGTCACTGACCCCCACGATGTCGCTGACAGCGCAGAAGGGGGAGATGGTGGGGCGCAGTGGGGAGACAGCAGGAGGCGGGGGGGGGGGAAGTAGAGGTTGGGTTGGCGGGAGGGCCAAGTCGGGCATGTCCCTCTACAGGAGGAACATTCGAAACAGCACAAGTCTGGGGACGATGTTTCGAGTAATTGTTGATCATGTTTAGTATTGTTTGACTACTTTAGATGTTTCGTCCAAAATCCGCCTGTAGGTGGACATGCCCGACTTAACGGGAGGGGGAGAAGGCGGGGGAGGGGGACGTGGGAAAGGGGATCAGGTGGTCGCCTTCGAGTAATGCATCCAGGGGCCACGCAAGGAGGACGAGATTTGATTGCCAGCCGCGCGCGCTCGGTGCCGAGGAGAAGGCCAAGCACCTCCTCACGGATGACGACTGGTGGGTGGCTCCAGCGACGCACGACGACCATGGGCATTGGGGAGGGCAGGGCGGGATTGGCGAGCACTTCTCACGAGGCTCTCGCAATTGGCAAGGGGGTCGTGACGGGACCTTGCCGGCGGCCAGCCCAGGAGGGAAGTCAGATGGGGGGTCTTCTCAGACGCCTCGGATAGCCTCCGGCCTTCTGAGAATTTGAAGCCTTCCCCGAAGGCACAAACCATTTTCCAGAAGCCCCGCGAGTGCTTCTGAGAAGCCCGCCGCCTTGGCGGGGGCCTGCCCCTCTTCCCCCCTGGGCTCGCAGCTGGCATCAGATGCAGCTCAGAACTGCGGGGGGGCGGGGGGTCATCTGCATCTGCGAGAGGAAGATCCCTCCTTGAACGGTTCCCTGGGCGCGTTGGTATTCACATAGCCCTGAGCTGAAGGGGGCGGGGCGAGCGATGGGTGACGAGGACAGGAGGAGACAGGGAGGACACAGCAGAGGCAGAGGCAGAGGCACAGCTGGAGGGGCGGAGCGGGGGGAGGCGGAGAGGCAACATGAGGACGCACGCCTATGTGATGGAATGTCCTTCCCCGTCTCCCCGTCTCCTCGTCTTCCCCTTCCGCGACCCGTCATCCTTTCCACCTCCTCATCTTCCTCAGCCTCCCTCTCATCTTGCTCATCCTCCCCCTTCTGTTGTTTGTTTCGCACGTTCTGTAGTATGTCTCAGTTTGCGCCTGCCCTTCTCATTCTCCTCCTGCTCTTTGTCCTACTCCTCCTCCTCCTCCTCCTCCTCCTTGTCTTCCTCCTATTCATGCTCCCGTTAAGAGTCCTCCTCTGCCCTCTTGATGTGCATGGTACTTTTGCAACTGCTCTCCCGTATTCAGAGTGGCTCAAGCAGTAAACCAATTGTCGAGTCGTTTGGGTAATTTTATTTCGCATCCTTCCCAAGATGGCCACTAGCACCCGGGTGGTTGTCTTGTTCCTCTTCTTGCTCGCAGGCGCGGAGGCGGAGCGTATCAATTCCGCGGCGAATTTGGCTGCCGCCGCCCGCGCCGAGATCGAGTCGCACAGCTTCAAAGGGCGCTCGTCCACTGACAAGAAGACCATGGACCTGGATTGGCACGGTTGTCCGATACAGCTTTTTTTGCCCCGCTCTCGCCTTTGTTGGGCCTCCTGAGAGGCCGTCGTCGCCACCGCTGTCTTCGCATCGAAATTCTAGTCAAAGCGGACAGTGGGCGAGGTCTTGGGAGTAGCAGTGTTGGCACCGTCTTGGCTGCCCCAGGCTGCGCATCCAAGACCAACTGGCTGTTCGGTCCGAGCTGCGGCGATGTCGAGGGCTGCGAGTGGCACAAGCTGTGGCTCGACACACCGAGGCAATCGTGCCGCTTCTCGGACGGCTACAAGCTGCAGCCGGGCAACGTCCAGAAGTTCCTCCCCGTGGAGCTCGCCCGCCTCGAGGAGAAGAGCGCCACGTTCGCCAAGAACGGGTGCCTCTTCGGCGGCTGGTTCGCTAAGTGCTACCGCCGCATGCGCCAGATGATCCGGCTACTCAAGTACGTGCGTCGTGCCGTCAGCGACGCCAAGAATGACCCCTCGCACCCAGCTCACGCGCTGGCCGCTAGGGAGGATCCGAGGCGGTGGTTTAGCCATCCCCACCGCCTGGGAGATCGATCTTCGGGGACCTCGGCAAGCGGTGGATACGAACTGGATATATGTACGTATGCATACATATATAGGCATCTATAAATAAATGACACATCGGGGCATACACCCATTTATATATATATATATATATATATATATGTATATGTATATGTACACACGTCGTATACATACAAATTCTAGACGCTTCGCGTATCCCCACCAGCCCGTCCAAAAACGACGCCCAGGCGAGTAGAGGGTCGTCCTGAGGGGCTTTTCGGCGTCTTGGGTGCCTCGGGGGGGCCTCTGTGGGCCGTTCGGGCTCCTCTTTGGGGCCTCCTGGGGGCCTCTTGGGGCCTCTTGGGGCCATCTTGGGGCCTTTGGGGGCCTCCTGGGCGCTTCTTGGGGCCTCCTGGGCGCTTCTTGGGTGCCTCTGGGGGGTCTCTTGGGGCCTCTTGGGGGTCTCTTGGGGGCCTCCTGGGGGCCTCTTGGGGGGCCTCGGAGCCATCTTGGAGGAGATCGATCAACGAAGGGGGGTTCCCCAATTACAGCCCCCCCCTCAGGAGCCACGATCCTCGTGAGGGGTGTCGAATTTTAGCCCTCCCAGGGGTCGATCTTGGGCGCTCCAACGCGCCGCGGAACCCCCTGTCCAGGTCAGTGGGCAGGGGGTAGGGGGAGGGGTAAACCCCTCCCCGAAGGGGAAGAAGGAGGGGTGGAAGAGGAAACGCTCTAAACCACCGACGCCCAGAGGGCTGGTGGGATACATGCAAACGTATATGTACGCACGTCGTATACATACAAATACATGCAAACACACGCATGCATACATGCATAATATATATATATATATAAATATGTATACATATATGTGTGTATATACATATGCATGTATCTATATACATGCATAAGTGTGTATATATATGGCCACGCATGTTCTAGACGCTCTACCTAATTCCACAACCCCATCCAGAAACGATGCCCAGTCGAGTTGCTCTTATCAGGGATGTGGGGGAGAATTCAATGGAATACAGGGCTTGGGAAGCTGTCGAACCCAATGATGGGGGGGATGGAGGAGGAATCGGAGGAGGGGGAGGGGGAAGTGGAGGAGGAAGGAGGGAGGAGGAGGAAGTGGCGGATGAGAAAGAGAAAGAGGAGGAGGAGGAGGCGGAGGAGGAGGAGGGCGAGCACAAAAGCCAACGGCCTCTTGGATGTCCCCTCGGAGTTTCTTCGGATGGCTTTGTGAGCTTCTTGTAGGCCTGTTGGGTCTCTGGGGCCTCTTGGAGCCTCTTGGGTGCGGTGCCTTGGGGGAACGTTTTGGGGCCGCTTGGGGATCTCGTGGGAGCCGCTTTGGGGACCTCTTGTGGGCCTCTTGGGGCCTCCCGGACGCCTTCGGGGGCACTCTTGGGAGCCTCGTGTACCACCTTGGAAGACTTGGAAGAGTTCGATGCAAGAAGGGGGGGTACTCAATGAGCCTCCCTCCCCCCCTGCCAGGAGGCCAACATCGGCCCAAACCATTGGACAATCAATGGTTCTCGCCTTCTCCCTGAGGCCTCCTTGGACGCTCTGACCGCTTGCGTGGTGCCCCCTCCAGACTCGAGGGGAATGGGCTGGGAGACGGAGGGGTCAAGCTACCCATAAGCAACAAGCCGTCTCGCTCATTCCCATTCGCCCTCCTAACACATAACTAGCAGCCGAGTCTCAGCATGCAGAGAAGCCGCCATCGGCAACCATCGGGAACCAATGCAGACGCCGGCTAGGTGCGCGAAGCCCGCAAGGTGCGCCGCACATGCCAGGTGCGCCACGCGCAGTAGGTGGGCGACAATTGGACAATATATGTACCCTCCAGCCGTCCCTGTCAAAAACCACTGCAGAGTGGCGGCGGGGTGATTGTGCGCAGGTGTGTGCCTAAGTCGCTTTGCATCTGTTTGGTAGAACGAGTCCGTCTTGTCCTTTTCAGTGGAATGCTGGGCCTGCGCCTGGCAGGCAGTATGCGAGCTCCCCCGCCATTCCTGGCAGAAGCAAATCCAGTATGAGCGCGAGGCGCTCGGGCACGATCCAGATGTTGTGCGGAGCCATTGGGACATGTTTTTTGAAAGTGTTGGTGCGGTGGTGCTGGCATTGCACACAGCAGGCAGTACGTTGCCCCCTTCCGCCGTCCCCGTCAGAAGCCAGCACAAAGTGGTCGCGGGGATCTGCACATGATCCAGAGTTCGGTGAAAAGTGCACGCTGCATTGCTTTCTGCAAGGGATGGTGGGTGAGGATTGCCTGCGCGCAGTCAAGCCCTGTGCCGGCGCCCCCGAGCTTCAAGTAAAAAGCCAGTGTAAAGTGGTCGCGGGGCGCCCGCGCCTGCCTCAGATTTTGGAGGCAACGCGTATTCGGGATTGCCATTCATATCTGCAAGCTGGCAGTACGACTCAGTTTCAGCTGCCCCCTCCACTCGCCGGTCCGCCGTCGAGCTGCTGCGTGAGGGCCCGGTTAGCAGCTGTAGGTGTGGCCACCCTCCGTCGCTTTAGTTTAATTCGTCGCTGCGTGCCCCGCTTTGACTGGACTCGCCGCCGGCGCTCGCCCGCGGCCGCTGACTAAAAAGTATTTGGGGTTGCTTCTGGCAGGAATGGTGGGGGGGGGGCGCATGGGTGCCCGCATGGGTCTGGGTTGGTTGCGGGTCGTGCGGGGGAGGGGGCATTCATCAAGAAAGAACAGTGGCCAGAACGCCTCTCTGGGGTATAGCCAGGACCCCGGGTGAGGGTACCCGGTTCGGGGTAGGGCCCTGGGGCCCCTCTGTTGGCCAGATTCATTGAACCAGGTTGTTTTTTTTCGGGTGAGGGCAGTTCCGGTTAGTCGAAATGGGACGGGGGGCGCCCCCGGCACAAATCACTAAACCAGGTTCTACTAAACCCAGTTCTGCCAACGCCCGACTCTCCCAGACGCAGATTGCTTGGCTCGCTCCCAGCCGCCCTCCCAACACATACGCAGCACCCGAGTCTCTGTAGATTCAGCGGTCGTCGTGGCATGGGCAGCTGCTGGGAAGCAAGACGGGCCCCAGGTGCGCGACGCCACGGGCGAGGTGCGCCCCGTCGGCCCCCACCATCCCTGTCGAAAGTCACCGCGCAGTCGTGGCGGATAGTGGCCATCACGATGTCCGGTGGGAGCCCCCTCTCGGCCACGCGCAGAGGGGGGTAGTCAAAACAAATAGGCAGGGTGGGATGTTTCGGTTCTGTTTGATTATTTTTAGGACGTTTTGACCACAGTGCCGTTTTTTATACATGCTCCGCGTGTGGGTCATGTGTTAAAATGAAAGACTTTAGTATTAACAGCATCGATGAGTTCATGCATACCTTTATGCATACATTAATCATGTATTATACATCCTATTTCTTTTTCCCCTATGTATAAACAACTGCCCTGTATTGCTCATTTGTCCTCCAAGATCGGCCTGTAGGAGGACATGCCCGACCTAGAGCCAGTGCGGCTGGCATTTTCGGCGCGCGTCGTGCTTTCAGCCGACCGCCTGGATGGAGGCATGCATCGGCCACGCGCAGAGGGGGGGGGTAGGGGGAGGGGCGAAGCCTTCTTAGAAGCACCCCTGCTTCTTAGAAGGCGCGGGCCTTCTCTATACATGTAAAGGCCGGCACCTTTTCAGAAGCAGCCTTCTTCTAAGAAGGCTTCCCCCCTCCCCCTCCCCCCTCGTGCGCGCCGCTAACCCTTTCCGAAAGGGAAGAGGTGGGATTGAGGAGGAAACGTGCTAAACCACTCACACCCTGAGGGGCTGGTGGGATTCACCGCGCCCTGGGGTCCTAGGACATCGGTTTCCCAGGCGGCGGAGATGGATCATTTCCTGCCCCGCAGAGGAGACGTCGCAGAAGCTGCTCAGGGCAGCTGACAATTTGGCCACGGGCTTCAAGAAACTCCAGGGCAAGGACGGGTTCGGCGAGGCCTTCGCCACGATGAGCGCGGGCCCCGAGAGCCTCCGCGCCGTGGCCGCCGCGGTGGAGGGCGCAGAGAACCGCTCGCTGACGGACGAGGAGACGGTCGCGATGGAGAACACGAGAGCCATCGAGGGAGCTCGAAGAGGGAAACCTGGGCATGCGTGCTCTCCGCGTGTCGCGCCGCCGGTGCTGGCCCCGGAGCGCTTCGGCGCGGCACGCGGAGCGCGTCCCGGTCCCCGAGCATCGCAGGAGGGAAAAGAAGCACACAGACACAATGAATCGTCGATTCCCCAGAAAAGATGGGAAAATATGGGAAGTGGGGGGAAGACAAAAACACAGAACATATGGGAACATATGGGGAATCCTTTTTATTTGTGTGTATGTCTTCGTGTGTCCCAGGGCCCCTTCATCAACCTCCGAGCGTGTCCCAGCCGCCCGTCTCCCGAAGGGCTGCACGTCGTGAGTTTGCAAGGCATGGCATGTCTCAGTGGCCGCCGCCGCGGCACGCCAAGAAGACCTTCCTCACTGTATATGCTCTAAGGTTCGCGCGGATTTGCGGGATCCGCGGTGGACCCCCTTTGGCGGCGCTCCTGGCGACGCCCCTGGCGCGCTCCGCACGCCAGGCAGAAAGGGCCCAGAGCAGATCCGAAACCCCGCGCGGGCCTTCGAAAGCTTATGTGCCGTGTGTTCTTCGGACGGGGCTAGGACGAAGATATATTCGAGTCGGGCATGTCCCTCCACAGGAGGAAGATTCAAACAATAGGTAAAACATAGTCAGGCGACGATTTTTGTATCATTTTTGGACTCTTATGGTGGATTTTTCGAGCACTCTAAGTTCGGTTCTCAGAGATTTTCGACTTATCCTCACCGGCATGTGTCCTCGTCCTGGCTTCGTCTTAGCTCCTCTTCTCCTAGGAATGCTGAAGGCCACCGGCACGAGCCTGGACGACGAGCAGCGCGCCGAGCTCTACGCGCAGCTCGAGGCCGGCGGCCCCACGGAGGAGAGCGAGGACGACCTCGACGCGGACGTGGAGGAGCTGGTCGGCTCCCTGGACCAGGCAATGGGCGAGTCCGACAGCGACGACAGGAGCAACCTTCAGCAGCAGGAGGGCAGCGTCGACGAAGAGGACGAAGAGGACCCCGAGGACGTCGTGGCGAAGGCGGCAGATGCCGCGGCTTTGGTGCAGCTCGGTGCCCAGACTGGCACGAACTCCACCGGCGCGCTGCAGGCGCGCGGCACAGGCCCCCTGAAGTGGATCTTCCAGCACGGCCTCGGCTGGATCGTGACCCGCATCGCCTGGGTGCTGCTGTTCTTGGTCGGCTCTGCCGTCGGCCTCATCCGCGCCGGCGTCATCTTCCCGCTCCTCTTCCTGGGGTGCACGCTCACCAAGTTCATCACGTGGGTCTTCCGGGACGTCGGCTACAACCTCCTCTGGGAGGGCGAGACCGACCTCGTGGTTAAGCGCTTCCAGAAGATCGGCAAGTGCCCGGCCTGGGCCTGGGATGCCGTCGGCTTCGACGCCTCGTCCGAGGATACCGTGAAGCAGATCGTCGTGCAGCCCGCCACCTTCGCCTCCTACATGACCGGAGTGAACCACTGGCACTCAGAGGGGAAAAAGATACCGATGCCGCTGCTCTCGCTGGAGAGCCCTCGTCGCCACGGCTAGATCGTTCTCGAAAAGTTGGTCAGAACGCACCCTTGGAGAGGTCCGTGAATGAATGGTACGGGTGTGTGTTTGTGTCTTCAGGTACAAGAGCGAGGAGGGCTTGTGCGCCAAGGTCCAGTGTGGCGCGAATGCGGAGTGCCAAAGCGGACAGTGCATCTGCAACAAGGGTTACTATCCGGACGCCAGTTCCCCTGGCCACTGCTACGAGGCCCCCACGTCGGCGGGGTGTCGTTGCATGGCCACGTGGTCGCAGCAGGAGCTTGTCGTCTTCAGCAGCACCCACCACGGCTGCCCTGCGAGCGGTAAGTGCCAGGTCGACAGGGCCCACGCCTCGTTCGGCACGTGCAAGAGCAGGATCGTCTCCGCCGCGAAGGGCCTCTTCGAACACGTCGGCAACGCCGTGGGCGTCTCCTTGACGTCCGCGGTCCACGACACCTGCAAGCGGCTCCCCTTCCGTGCCGTGGTGCAGGCCGTGAACACGATCGCGTGAGCGGGACCTCGTCGTGGAGGGGTGGCCCGTCCGCCGTGAGATTTGGCATGGTGGCGTGCGGTCGTCCAGGAGTGCTCATCCTCTTCATCCCACGCCACCAGATTCCACCGCCGGGACCTGTCGTCATCCTCCGCTGTGAGGCTGCGTGCTGGGACGTCAACGGGTGGCGGACACGGTTGCGCCGGCAGATGCCTGCACGTGCGCAGTCCCCTCCAGAGCACAGGGCATGATTCCACATGTCTTTGCATCGGTGTATCTTGGCGGTGGCCAGATACACCATATCCTTCTGTGCGTCCCCCTATGAACTATTGCTGCAAATTCTGATGCCGCGAACAATACGCGCCTCCGCGAACGATCCGCGCCTCCGTAAGGCAAAACACATGGATTTTCCTCCGGTGTTGGAACCATTTTGGCCTCTTGGGGGGTCCTTGGAGGATTCGGAGGGCATTTGAAATCGTTTTGGGGCCGTCATGAGGCCTCACGGATGCTTCTTGGAGGTTGTCCTGGGCAATCTTGGGGTGTTTTGAGCCATCTTGGAGGCCCTCTTGGACTAATCTTGGGCGATTCTGGGTTCTAACCCCTCGCGGGGCGCCCCGTCCAGACCCAGGGGGAGGGCAGGGGGAAGGGGTAAACCCCTCTCCCGAGCAGGGGAAGGACGGGTTTTAGCAGAGAGAAGGCGTAATCCGTTAAACCACCTACGCTCAGAGGGCTGGTGGGACTATGATTCTGGCACTGGGGCCAGGGCGGAAGCAACATACCGCGCGCAGGCCCGCAACATATTATATCAACGGGTGCTCAGAGCCCAGGAGTCGGCGACGGGAGAGTTGCGTCAGTTTTGAATGCAGGGTGCTTTTGCCACCAGCCAGAGCGATCCTCAGCCACTTTTCTATATGCGCACCTGCTCGGATCAAGGGAGATTGTTGTGGGAATCCCAAGGTATTTCCTCAAGGTTCCGTTGAGATTCCAGCAAGACTTCTGGTTGAGAATCCCTTGGGGGTCCCGTGGAATTCCTTGATGGGTTTCCTGTATGTTCCCATCCAGATCCTTCTGACATACATGTAGGACTCATTTGATGTTCCGTTGAGACCCTTGTGCGTGCTGGATAGGTGCGGCGACCCCTGGGGCCATTAGACGGTTGTCGAGGAGTGCGTCTGTGATATTATTATTGGAGGGGGATTCCAGTTTTGCATTGTGCAAGGAAGTGTTTTTTCATACAACAGAAGAGAACCACACATACCAGCCCCCAAGATTTGTGCAGAGCGCTCCCGGGCGTCTGCTAAACAGCTTTGCCCTCGTCTACTCCTTCCTTCTCTTTGACTTGGTTGGGGAAAAGGAGGCCGCCCATGGCCACGCGAGTCCACGCCTTCACATGATTGTGCCCCTTTCCCACTACTGATCAGTTGTTTCGGTATCCTCACACGTTTCGATCTTCATGGTGTTCTTAGGCGTCCCCTCTGTTGTCCTATGCGTCGTTCAATATTGCTGGACGCTGGGCTTGGAAATGCGGCGGCCTTCGTGCATCCACATTCGATGCCCTCGTATGGCAAGGTCCAAGGGTGGCGCAACTATAGGTTGATTGTGTGTATACGCTGTTGTACGTGCGAACGGTATCGCTGGCAGGCGCTCCCAAACGATGTGTGTATGTCCATTTTTGTGTTTGCGATATCGCATGGGACATTGTATGGTCCGAAACGGTTATGTTGTAGTTCGGGATCAGTCTGGAGGCCATCATTTGCCCACTCGCGGGCATCTTGGGGCCTGTGGGGCCATGTTGGACTATGCCGTGCCTGTTTTGAAGCATGTGGGGCCCCCATTGGGGGCGTGATGGGGCGATGTTGGACTTTGTTGGGGGCCATACTGGGCAATTTGGACGGCGGCGTCTTGGGCGCTTCTGGGCTGCAGGGGGGGAGGCCGTCTTGGACAATCTCGGGAGCTCCAGGCGCTGTCTTGGAGTGAGCTTTGGGCACGTTTGCGACGAGCCCAGCCGTAGGGCAGGCAATGCATGAGGGCGTCGTGCGCCAAGCATATTGCGCTTGCGTGCGACGCCCCTGGTGCTCATTGCGACGTTTCGTTTACCTCTGTGGCTACATTGATTTCTGGGCAGCGCGCGCTGCGGGCTCACGGCATTCCACTATTGCCCGACACATTGAAAGGGGAGGTCAGTTATCACAATCTAGTCCAACCATCTTGCAGGCGTATTCGGTACAGTTTCGGCTTTTTCTCCTGAAGTCCTCGTGGGAGCCTCCTGGGCCGCACTCGAGGCGCTTATTTGGCACTCCGTGCCGTGCGGTGGCGTCTAATGGGCATCCTGGGGCAAGCAGCAGCGGCCATGGATCTGAGCGACAGCCCATTTTTGGTTGCGCCCTGGGGCCTTCTGGTGGACAGTGAAATTGAGACTGGGCGACTGGGCTGTACAGTGGAGACCCATGCCAAGAAACACCCTGCTTGCTTTCGGATTGCCCTGGGTTTCTTGGGATTCGATAGTTTTGCGATGGAACGCGTGGCGCTCCCATCCCAAACGTCGATGGACGTTCTGGGGTCTCAGGGTTGGGTTTCTTGTGGAGGGTTTCTTGTGGACTGGCCTCCACTGCAAAGACAGGCAACAAACAACATAATGGCACTGCCAGCAAACACGCAGCACAGCTCTCCGATCGAGGGCCTCGCAGCCTGGCGTACGGCCTGGCGACACGGTGGTCGACTGATCCTTGAGCGTACGCCTCGGGGTGTGGGCATTGTTGACCCAGGAGGCCCAGGGAGGCCCCAAAGGGTCCGAGCGCAGAGGGTCCGAGGCACCAAAGGGGGTCCGAGGCACCAAAGGGGGTCCGAGCGCAGTCGCACGGCGGTCTTCGCAGGCATGATGCGGCACTCGCGCGTTATTGCGCGGTTTCAGGAGGGGTGGAGGGATCGGCACACATCAGTTGCTTAGCCGCTGAAATCTCGTCTTCGCAGGAGGCTTGGAGGCCACTTTCCCGTTTGCCTGCCCCAAGCTCTCGCACAGTGGTGGCACAGGCCGGTTGTGGCGCCTGTGGCTTCCGGTGGTGTACGCAGGTTTCTGGTGGTGTGCACTGGCTCCCGTGCGCGTGGCGTGCACGTGCGCAGATGCAGGTGGGTGCAGCCGTTCGCCTGCGATACGCCGCGGCCCCAGGCTATGGTTTTGCTGTTTGATTGCGCCACTCGCATGCACGCCGTAGCCTCAGCAGGTTCTCGCGGAGACGAGAGGCGAACGGCGGGGTGTGTGCAGGAAGGTTGCGGCGACCGCAGACAACTGTGCTGCTCTGGAGCCTGCTTCAGGCGATCGCAGGCATTTAGTTGTGTTCGCAGGCTATTGTGATATAATGTGATACTGCTGGGGCCTGGCGCATCACTTCGCACAGCGTCCTGCTCGCAGCCCTCGCACCGTATTTGCAGGGCCTGGGGCGATTTGGATTCTAGCACGCTGCAGCCGCCGTTACCGTCGCCCCTCGCAGATGTCCCCCCCCCACACCGCGGGCCACATGACGTACCACACCTAGGCACCTGCCTCACTGGCGCCCAGGTGGTTCGCGCCGAGAGGGACCCGACCACACGGCCGACGTGACCGGAATGATGGGCGCCGCTTCGAGGAGGCGTGCCCCAGCAGACCCGCGCGGGGCGGGGAGGGCAGAGGTCGGTGGCGTGGAGGGGTGCTTATCTCGGGGACACGCAGAGGGGATCTATCCCAAAGGTGCGGTCAGGGAACGGACCATGCTGGATGCCCACATTTCCTTTCTCTAGGGGCCGTTCACAGCGATTCTCGTCTGACCACACCCGTGCCCCATACCCCACCTTGACGTCTCCCCGAATACCACGACCAGGGCAATGACATCTCGTCGATTTCGTGGTCAGTTTTTGTCGCTTCAATGCGATCTCAGGCCCCCTATCTTGCGCGCTCGCGTACTACCCCCTCGAGATTCGAGGTTGGGGGGCTGGATTGGATTCCCCTCGAGGTTCCGGCCGGAGCGCACCCCCAGGGGGCCCGGATAGATTTTGGCGCAGGTGGAGGTCTTGCGGAGCATGCGTTCCGCCACGAGAGTTCTTTGAAGTTCGAAATCGGTGTTTGAACTCTTCATCTTCTTCGCCTGCTCTTAGATTTCGTTCTCACCATTATCGTACCATCTTACCCCCTACAGCGAGCACCACAACCACGGCCAACACACTGTATTTACGTCGCAGGCAGGCGTCGTCACAACGATTGAGCAGTCGGAGCCCGATGGCAACGGCGTTGCTGCAGCGGCGATCGCGATGACGATGCCAATCCACCCCCAGTTCGACACCAATGTGCACGATCGGCGTTGCTCTTATGCATGGCCTCAGCGCAGAACATTGCGCCCAATAGCATCAACTACTGGACCGTGGACAAGATGCACTCTTCCCCGGGGCTCGCACCCTGTTTGTTATCAGGGAAAGTCTTCTTGCTAAAGCTGTGCTCCTGGCCTCAGGGGTTACGGCAACAACGGCTCCCGCTCGATATTCTTCACATTTCTTTCATTCAAACTCGCGATCTCGCGCGGGACGCCCTCACAATTTAGGCAGGGATCGCGTCCTCGCGTGAGACTTCCCCGCAATTGATTCAAACGTCGCGCCCTCGACGCTCAGGAATCGCGCTCTCGCTCTGGGCTCTTGGCAATTCACTTGGGAATCGCGCTATCGCTCGAGACCTCTTCGCCATTCATGCAGTACTCACGCTTCAGCAGGGACTCCGGGAATGGTCACGCGGGGAACCCCCAGAGCGCCAAGACCGCACGGGGTTCGGGGAATCTGTGGCTTTGGGAGGCAGTTTCAATGTCAGAAGTGTGGGCTCCAACGAGGCACGCTCCGCTCAGTCTCTGGCCCTTCAGCGAGTGACGGGAAGCGCGTACGAGGAACGAGGAGCGTTGACCGTTTTTCCAAAAGAAATCTCTACATGGGGCCCCGCGCTGCACTTCGGACAGGCGTTGATGTTTCCAAAAAGGCCCGTTTCACTCTAGACATCCTCAAAAAAA